CTCAAGGTACCACTAATGGCTTTTTCACTCTATGTTGCTCCCCCTAGCGGAGATCATGCAGAACTACAGGTCCAGTTTAATGCTGAGGTTTCTACTTTATAAACTTCTGTCACTTTTTCATCAGGAGGAAAAATAATCCAAAATAAAAACATCTGAGCTGCTCAGGAGAATTAACAAGTTTAATTAAGCCTTTGTTTTGAGGTTTCAACAATTAAAGTCGAGTTAATTTCACTAAATTAATTGGCACAAACCAAAAGATTAAATATTTTCACAACAGGTCGTGTATGGAGGACCAACTCTGCCATATTTAAAAATAAATACAGAAATAAATACATGCTCAAAAAATATATAAGCATACAATTGTCAACAAAAATACAATAAACAATTAAATGTAAGTAGAAATTAAATTATACAGTGAGGCATACATTTATATAACTCTTTTAATTAGCTTCTTTATTTACACAGGAAATTTAAGAGTTATGTGCAATTTAAGAGTTATATACATTTATGTCTCACTTTATAATTTAATTTCTACTTACATTTAATTATTTATTGTATTTTTGTTGGCAATTAATTGTATGCTTATATATTTATTGAGCATTTACTTATTTCTGTATTTATTTTTAAATATGGCAGAGTTGGTCCTCCACAGGGGCGTGCACACATCATTCAGAGAAGTAAAGCAGAATGGGCTTCTCGTGTGATGTAGTATCGCGATAAAAGACGCAGTTATAGTTCTGAATTAAACCCAGAGGAAGTAAGCTTCAGGAAACCAGGTTCTGGTTCTGACCTTCGTGTTCCCATCCCGCCAGGCTCTCCGGGTCGCTCCTCCTCACGCTGCCCATGCTCTCCGGGGGAACCGGCTCCAGGTTCGGGTCCAGGTTCTGGCTGCTGGAGGCGGGCGCGGCTCCCGCAGCCTCTGCAGCCGCCTGGCAGTGCTCCTCCAGCCGCTGCAGGTCCAGCTGACCCAGCTCCTGCAGGAAAGCCTCCTTCTCCTCCTCACTGAGCTCCGACCAGAACCGCAGCACATGGGCCTGGCCCGACCCGTCCAGAGCGGCTCTGATCTGCTGCAGAGAGGGCATGTTTAGGAGCGCTTTGGTTCCTGCAGCTCAGAGACCTGGAGAGGAAATGACGCCTGAAGAGAGAAGAACCCGTGACTGGAGCCAGACATGGATCCAGGAGAGGAACCAGAAACCTTCCTGGCTCTGCAGCTCCAGAGGAGAGGATGTGATGATTCAGCAGCTCATCAGCTGATCTCACCCCAACAGTTTGATCAAAAACTCAAACTGCAGCAAAGATTTCACCCTAAAATAACCACACTCTGCTTTTTTTCTGATGTCATCCAATCATTTCAAACCACCAACTGGAAAAACTAAAAGTTGGACATTTTTCTTTTAAATAAACTGTTTAAACACCATTTTCTGAACTAAATTCCTGCTTGGATTGATAAAAGTTATCAAACCAGTTTCATTATTACATCAACAGATAACCTGCATGATGCTGAAACCTGCAGTTTTTATATTTACTTTATTTTCCAGTAGCAGTACGCTTCTCATCAGTACAGAAGAAGTTAACAGATTTTTAAATTTTATTTCAGTTTAGTATGGGAAAAAAGTCAGAATTCTCACTTTAATCTCAGAATTCTGAAATTTTTCTCCGAATTCTGACTTTAATCTCCGAATT